CTATAAACAGATTTGTATGACCAGAATACTTTAAGCAATGTTATTAGTGCTCAGTTGTATATAATTAATGAGAAAAGTGTTAGATTATTTATGTTGCTGAAAATAGTGGCATTCAATCAATTAGGAGAAATATTTCAGGTGCAAGGCACTATAAACCAACTCCTAGAGGCAGAAACAAGAGCTTATATATGAATGAGCGACAATTTTATGAACAGATGAACAATTGATTATTTCTTAACAAAACTTTATTCAAAATTACAAATAAAGCATACGCACATAAATTTTGCAGAGTTTATTTCCCTGGGAATGAAATTTAAATGTTCTTTTTGGAGATAATCTCCATCATTTGAACATAACTGTAAATCTATATAATGTGAGTCCTATAAACATACCAAGGAACTTTTAATATTTTTTAATTTTATTTTTTAAGAAAACAAACTATCTTTTTTTCATTTTATATGCCAATCCTAGTTCCCACTCCTTCCCCTCCTCCCTTTTCCTCCACCTCCCCCATTCCCCCATCCACTCCTCAGAAAGGGTAAGGCACATTGCTTTGGGGAAGGTCCAAGATCCTCTCCACTATATCTAGGCTGAGCAAGGTATCCATCCAAAGAGAATGGGTTCCAAAAAGCCAGTACAAGCAGTAGGGATAAATCCTGGTGCCACTGCCAGTGGCCCTGCAGTCTGCCCCAGCCATACAACTGTCACCCACATTCAGAGGGTCTAGTCTGGTCCTATGCTGGTTCCTCCCCTGTCCGGCTAGAGTTGATGAGCTCCCATTAGCTCAGGTAAGCTGTTTCAGTGGGTGTCCCCATCATGGTCTTGTATTTCTTGTGTGACCTTGTGGCTGGCATTCCACCCCTTGCTCTGGTCTGCATGGCTCACTCAGCATAGTGAGATTCCTGGGCTCAGTATTTGAGGAGCCACAACAGCCCAGGCTAACAGGGCAGGTGGCTTGTTAGAGGGACTTAGGTTTGTATCTGCAAGGAGGGCTATCTCCATTGGCTTCGAATGCATGCTTTTTTTTTTTTTCCTTTTGGATTTTTTTAGACAGGGTATTCTATGCTCACCTTGACATCTGGATCCTCCACTTCCCCAGGGCTGGGATCACGGATGTGAACTAGCATGCCTGATCTGACTTTATGCTTTTTCTAAGCAGACACCCTGTTGCTCTGTCCCTATGCAGGAGTCCATCTTTGCCCACTGACGTGCCACACCGAGCTGTCATTCTGCAACCAGCACAGCGCCGTGCTGTCTTCCGGTCGGCTGGCTTACTTCTATACCACTGCACTAACACCACATCATCCATCAGTTTAAAGGACAGGGCAGTATTTGGTGGGCAGGTGGGAGGGCTGGAGACACAGCTCACAGAGAAAAGCACTTGCTGCTCTTCCACAGGACCCAAGTTCTGTCCCCAAATGCCTGTGTCGTATGGCTGACGATGCCCTACA